TCGTTGCAGCTGGGAGTGTAGGAGTGGGGTGTGGGGATGAGAGGTCTGATAAATCAAATTAGGTTTATGATGGGATTTTCTAATTCACTTCCATTCCAGATACTGCCGAATAGAAAGTAAAGGCTGTGAGTTATCAAAACGGTTGCACTACTTCAGAGCACTCCAAAAAAAAAAAGTGGAACTGATAAGGGTCATTATATGAGGAATTGCAGACACAGCGATTTTTTTTCAATGAAGGGAACAAATTTTGTGAAGATTGTGAAAACTTGCGTAGCAATGTAGGTTAAAAGGAGGCTTAGGCTATTATACAGAAAATTAAGGATCAATAAGTGTGATGAAAAACAAGCGACGATTTTTAGAGAATATCAGACCAATCAGACCAATGGGCCATCAGAGTATTTTTTCAAGGACCAACAGACCTATAATTGTGGAATTTTTTAAAAATATTTTTTCAAGGACCTTTAGACCAACAATCGTGGATTTAAAAAAAATTTTTTTGAAGGACCCACAGACCAATAATCGTGGATTTTTAAGGAATATTCTTTTCAAGGACCCATAGACCAACAATCGTGAATTTTTAAAGAATATTTTTTTTTCAAGGACCTATAGACTAACAATCGTGGATTTTTAAGGAATATTCTTTTCGAGTACCAACAGACCAATACTCATGGATTTTTTAAGAATATTTTTTTCAGGGACCAACAAGCCAATGAATGTTTTTTAGGAATATTTTTTCAAGGACCCATAGAGCAATAATCTTGAATTTTTTAAGAATATTTGTTTAAGGACCTATATACCAACAATCGTTGATTTTTAAGGAATGTTCTTTTCGATCCTGGATTTTTTAAGAATATTTTTTCAAGGACCAATAGACCAATAATCCTGGGTTTTCTAAGAATATTTTTTCATGGACCATCAGGCCAACAAAAGGGGATTTTTTAAGAATATTTTTTCAAGGATAAATAATCCTAATTTTTTTAAGAATATTTTTTCAAGGACCTACAGACAAACAATCGTGGATTTTGAGGAATATTCCTTTCAAAGACCAAACGACCAATAACCCGGGATTTTTTAAGAGTATTTTTTTCTAGGGTTAACGCACCAATAATCATTGATTTTTTTAAGAATTTTTTTTTTAGAGACCAGCAAGAATACCAATACCAATTGACCAATAATCCTGGATTTTTTAAGAAAATGTTTTCAATCGTGGATTTAAAAAAAAACATTTTTTAGAAATATCTTTTTAAAATATATATATATTTTTTATGGAGTCCCAATAAACGTGGATTTTTTAAATAATATTTTTTTAGAAATATTTTTTAAGAATAATTTTATGGAGTTTTTTAAATAATATTTTTTTAAATATCCAGTAAACGTGGATTTTTTTTTAAACAATATTTTTTAGAAATATTTTTTTAAGAATAATTTTATGGAGTTTTTTAAATAACATTTTTTATGGGGTCCCAGTAAACGTAGATTTTTCTTTAAATTATTTTTTTAGAAATATTTTTTTTAAGAATAATTTTATGAAGTTTATACTTCAAAAATAATATTATTTTAAAATATATTTTTATGGAGTCCCATTTTTAAGGTTCTTTTTTAATGAATGTGGATTTTTTAAAATATTTTTCAGCAAACGTGAATTTTTTAAAACCTCAATTTAATAAAAGTCTTTTTAAAAATATTTTGTAAAGGATTCTTTTAATAAAAGTCTTTTTTTTAATATTTTGTATAGTCTTCTTATAATAAAATTATTTTTTAAAAATATTTTTAAAGTCTTCTTTTAACAAACGTGGATTTTTAAAATTATTTTTAAAGCCTCTTTTAATAAACGTGGATTTTTAAAATTATTTTTAAAGCCTCTTTTAATAAAAGGTTTTAAAAAAAATGTTTTTTTGAAAATCTTTTTTTAATAAACGTGGATTTTTTAAAATATTTTGTTAGTCTTTTTTATTAAAAGTCTTTTTAATGAAAGTCTGTTTTAAAAATATTATTTAAAGATTTCTTTTAATATACGTCTTTTTTTAAATAATTTTTAAAGTCTTCTTTTATAAAAGTGGATTTTTTTAAAAAAGGCTTTTTTAAAAATATTTTTAAAGTCTTTTTTAATAAACGTCGATTTACAAAAAAATATTTTCAAAGCCTTTTTTAATAAAAGATATTTTAAATGCTTTTTAAAATAAACGTGGATTTTTTAAAAATATTTTTTAAAGTCTCTTTTTAAAAATAGTCTTTTTTAAAAAATATTTTTTTTGGAGTCACAACAAACGTGGATTTTTTAAAAATATTTTTTAAAGTCTCTTTTTAAAAATAGTCTTTTTTAAAAAATTTTTTTTTGGAGTCACAACAAACGTGGATTTTTTAAAAATATTTTTTAAAGTCTCTTTATAAAAATAGTCTTTTTTAAAAAATATTTTTTTGGAGTCACAACAAACGTGGATTTTTTAAAAATAATTTTATTTTAGAAATTATTTTTTAAATATCTTTAATAGAGTTTTAGACATATTTTTGTAGGAATATTTTTATGCAGTACCAGTAAACGTGGATTTTTTAATAATATTTTTTTTTAAATAAAAATATGTTTTGGAGTCTCAATAAATGTGGATTTTTCAAAATATGTTTTCAAGTCTTTTTTAATAAACGTGGGTTTTTTAAAATCTTTTTTTAAGTCATTTTTAATAAAAATTTTTCTTAAAAGTATTTTGTAAAATCTTCTTTTAAAAAAAGTTATTTTTTATAAAAGTCTTTTTAAAAAGTATTTTTTAAAAAAATTTTTAATTTTTTTATTTTTTATAAAGACTTTTTTAAAAGTCTTTTTTAAAAGTGGATTTTTTAAAGACTTTTTATTAATAAAAGGCTTTTTTAAAAAAATTTTTAAAGTCTTTTTTAAAAAAACGTAGATTTACAAAAAAATATTTTCAAAGCTCTTTTTAATAAAAATATTTTTAAAGCCTTTTTAAAAATATTTTTAAAAGTCTCTTTTTAAAAAAATTTTTTAAAGTTTTTTTTTATAAAAGAGTATTTAAGAAAAATTAGTCTCTTTTAAAAATTGTTTTTTAATAAAAGTGGATTTTTTAAAAATATTTTTAAAGGTTTTAAAAAAAAAAAACGCTTTTTTAAAAATATTTTTAAAGTTTTTTTTTTTAATAAACGTAGATGTACAAAAAATATTTTCAAAGCCTTTTTTAAAAAAAGATATTTGTTAAAGCCTTTTTAATAAACGTGGATTTTTTTAAAAATATTTTTTAAATCTCTTTTTAAAAATAGTGGGCTTTTTAAAATATTTTCTTAAAATCTTTTTTTATAAATGTGGATTAAAAAAATTAGTCTTTTTTAAAAATTATTTTTTATAAATGTGGATTTTTTAAAAATATTTTTTAAATACTTTTTATTAATAAAAGGCTTTTTTAAAAATATAATAAGTCTTTTTTAACAAACGTAAATTTACAAAAAAATATTTCCAAAGCCTTTTAAATAAAATATATTTTTAAAGCCTTTTTAATAAACGTGGATTTTTTTTAAATATTTTTTAAAGTCGCTTTTTAAAAATAGTGGGCTTTTTAAAATATTTTTTAAAAATATTTTTTAAAGTCTTTTTTTATAAAAGAGGATTTAGGAAAAATTAGTCTTTTTTAAAAAATATTTTTTAATAAAAGTCGATTTTTTAAATATTTTTTAAAGACTTTTTCTTAATAAAAAGCATTTTTAAAAATATTTTTTAAAGTCTGTTTTTATAAAAGTTGATTTAAGAAAGTTAGTCTTTTTTAAGAAATATTTTTTAATAAAAGTGGATTTTTTAAAAATATTTTAAAGACTTTTTATTAATAAAAGGCTTTTAAAAATATTTTTAAATTCTTTTTTAATAAACGTAGATGTACAAAAAAATATTTTTAAAGCCTTTTTAATAAACGTGGATTTCTTAAAAATATTTTTAAAGCTTCTTTTTAAAAATAGTGGGTATTTTTAATATATTTTGTTTTGGTCCCAAAAATTGTTGATTTTTTTAGAAATATTTTAGAAATATTTGAGTCCAAATGTACGTGGATTTTTTAAAAACATATTTTTTTTTCAAAACCATTTTCCTTCCTTTTTCTAAAAGGAAATGTTCCACCTCTCTTTCAAAGAAAATCATTTATTCTTTTACCATTGCCTTTTTAGTTATATTAATTTATTTAGTTTTTCACCTGTCTTCCATTTCCGTCACTGGCGGTTCAGACTAATTGAAGTCTGTCAGTTTTATTGTTCCAAGCAGCTTCTTGTTCTGTTGCGCATTTTTTTGTTTTTGTGGGACACACGAGTAGCTTTTGCATTGTCTGAGGATATGAAAAAGTTTACCAACAAATAATATTGTATCCATTTCCAACAACACAATTTTCCCATGCAGGTTGCCCTGTAGGGCCAGCAGGCCATGGTCTGTGGTGTGGGCAAAAGAGTTCGATTGTTTACATGTATGCCATGAAAACTTTCTTTGGAAACCATTTAAATGGTTTCAAAACCAAATGGGAATATTTGGTTGAAGGGGTATCGAGTTCATTTTGTGGGGAGGAAAATATAAAAATAAAATTATTTGAATTTAAAAATATTTTTTTTTAAATTTAAAAATATTTTTTTTTAAATTTAAAAATATTTTTTTTTTAAATTTTAAAAAAATAAATTTCCTGGTGAAATGGAAAAAATCGCTGAAAGTTGTCCTCTCTGAATATTTAAAGGCTCCAAAGCAACCTAGCAATATAAACAAAATATATATTTTTTGCAACAAAGGTCTACACAAAACTCTCCCAAATAACTCACATTCTCTCCACAAACTAGTAAAGCCACATTTCAGCAAATTCAACATATTTAGCAGAGACACAACCCCATTCAAGAAGTATTAAAGTAGTGTTGGCAACACTTGACACTTGAGTGGGGCCAACCTCCAAGAAAATATTTTCAATTTTATTTTTCAAAATTTCTTTTTCTGATTTTAATATTTTCCCTTTTCTCTCTCTCTCTTCTCCCAGGAATTACAAAACGACTTATCCTTTGATGACACCTTCGACATTGATCAAATCGACGATTCAAAATTGCGCAGTTCCCGCGACCTGGAAGAGCAAGCCTTCATCGAGGATGAACTCCAGCCGGTAGATGAGGCCGAGGCCAACAGCGAAGGCAGTTGGCTGGTGCAGAGCGTTAAACGTGTTCGCCGTGAGTTGGGACGTTTGTTCGGTGCTGAGAACAAACAAGCCGCTGCCGGTGGCAACAAGGTACGCAAACATCACAAAAAACGTTCGGAACGTAATCAAGCTGCCGGTGCTGCTGCTGCTGGAGGTAAAAAGACTCATGCCGAGGGCCACAAGAAAGCCCAACAAAATGGTCATACCAAACAGTCCAATGGTGCTAAACTCCAAACGAAACCAAAGAGAAATCACAAATTGCAAGCCTTGAACCGCCACAAGAAACGTCAATTGTTCGGCGATGAGAATGAGGGTTCCGGCTTCGGCAATGGTGATGATGAAGATGCGCCCATTGATGATTTTGGTGAAACTGATTTGTGTAAGTGAAAAAAAGGAAAAAATTCCAAAAATTTTGAAAAAATAGAAAAAATCCTCTGTAGCAGAGAAAGACTTTTTTCGATAGAAAAAAATTTTCTCTGCAGCAAAGAACGATTTTTTTCTATAGGAAAAAATTCCTCTGCAGCAGAGAACGATTTTTTTCTGTAGAAAAAAGAATTTTTTTGCAGCTGAGAACGATTTTTTTCTATAGAAAAAAAATTCCTCTTCAACTGAGAACGATTTTTTTCTATAGAAAAAAATTCCCCTGCGGCAGAGAACGATTTTTTTCTATAGAAAAAAAAAATTCCTCTGCGGCAGAGGAAGACTTTTTCCTATAGAAAAAAATTCCTCTGCGGCAGAGGAAGACTTTTTCCTATAGAAAAAAATTCCTCTGCAGCAGAGAACGATTTTTTTTTCTATAGAAAAAAAAATCCTCTCCTCTGCGGCAGAGGAAGACTTTTTCCTATAGAAAAAAATCCTCTGCAGCAGAGGAAGACTTTTTCCTTTAGAAAAAAAAATCCTCTGCAGCAGAGGAACCTTTTTCCTATAGAAAAAAATTCCTCTGCAGAAGAGGAACCTTTTTCCTATAGAAAAAAATTCTTCTGCAGCAGAGAAAAAAAATTTCTATAGAAAAAATTCCTCTGCAGCAGAGAAAAAAATTTTCTATAGAAAAAATTCCTCTGCAGCAGAGAAAAAAAATTTTCTATAGAAAAAAATTCCTCTGCAGCAGAGAACGATTTTTTTCTACAGAAAAAAATTTCTCTGCAGCAGAGAACGATTTTTTTCTATAGAAAAAAATTTCTCTGCAGCAGAGAACGATTTTTTTTTCTATAGAAAAAAATTCTCTGCAGCAGAGAACGATTTTTTTTCTATAGAAAAAAATTTCTCTGCAGCAGAGAACGATTTTTTTTCTATAGAAAAAAATTTCTCTGCAGCAGAGAACGATTTTTTTTTCTATAGAAAAAAATTTCTCTGCAGCAGAGAACGATTTTTTTTTTTATAGAAAAAAATTTCTCTGCAGCAGTGAACGATTTTTTCCTATAGGAAAAAAATTCCTCTGCGGCAGAGAAAGACTTTTTCCTATAGAAAAAAATTCCTCTGCACCAGAGAACGATTTTTTCTATAGAAAAATATTTCTCTGCAGCAGAGAACGATTTTTTCTATAGAAAAAAATTTCTCTGCAGCAGAGAACGATTTTTTTCTATAGAAAAAATTTCTCTGCAGCAGAGAACGATTTTTTTCTATAGAAAAAAATTTCTCTGCAGCAGAGAACGATTTTTTTTTCTATAGAAAAAAATTCTCTGCAGCAGAGAACGATTTTTTTTCTATAGAAAAAAATTTCTCTGCAGCAGAGAACGATTTTTTTTCTATAGAAAAAAATTTCTCTGCAGCAGAGAACGATTTTTTTTTCTATAGAAAAAAATTTCTCTGCAGCAGAGAAAAAAATTCCTCTGCAGCAGAGAACGATTTTTTTCTATAGAAAAAAATTCCTCTGCAGCAGAGAAAATTTTTTTTCTTTAGAAAAAAATTCCTCTGCAGCAGAGAAAATTTTTTTTCTATAGAAAAAAATTTCTCTTCCGCAGAGAAATACTTTTTTCTGAAGAAAAAAATTTCTCTTCCGCAGAGAAAGACTTTTTTCTGAAGAAAAAAATTTCTCTTCCGCAGAGAAAGACTTTTTTCTAAAGAAAAAATTTCCTCTGCGGCAGAGAACGATTTTTTTTCTATAGAAAAAAATCCTCTGCAGCAGAGAAAGATGTTTTTCTATAAAAAAAAATCCTCTGCAACAGAGGAAGTTTTTTTTCTATAGAAAAAAATTCCTCTGCAGCAGAGAAAAATTCTCATCTTTGTTGTTTTTTCTTTATATATTCTACTAATTTTTCCCTTCTCCAGGGGAGGCCTACGTTGTTGTCAACCTACCCTGGGATGATGCCTATGAGGATAAGACCAGCGATGAATTTGCCACTTTGCAGTCCCAAATCGAAGCGGCCTTTGTTGAGTGGTTCGATGACGAATACGGCTATGAAGAGTTTGCCCTGCATGTGGCCCTTATGAATGCCAAGTGAGTAAAATGGTTGTTAATGGTTGAAGAAAAGAATATTCGAAAAAAAAATCTCTTTACCAGACGTACCGATGACTACTATCGCATGCACTGTACCATCCAAATGGACTTGCCCGAGAAATTCGGCAGCTTTGCCCAGCGGGTGCAACATCAATTGACGTCCTATCGCAAAATGGCCGATTTGGGCATGGAAGCCGATGACCAGTTCTATTTCAGACGTGTGAGAGGTAAGTGGCCTTTGGCCAATTGGCAAAAATAGAAAATCTTCAAAAAAAATGTTTGTAAAGGTCCTGAAAATGTCCTTTTGAAAAAAAAACGTAGAAATTTTTAAAATCTAAATTTAGTTTTCTGTTATTCCAAAGAAAGGATAGTAAAATCCTTTGAGTGAAAATAAAAATATTCTGTGAGTCCTTTTTAGTCTGGAAAAAAATTAGAAATCATTTTGGGTGTAGTTTGTTGCAGATTTTCAATTTCCATAAATTTTTCAAAATCAAAAAAAAAAAAAAAACATTTGTATTATAAATATATTGTCTTTCAATTCCGAAAAAAAATACCCAAAACATAAAACACAACCCATCCACATTGCTAAATACACATTTTCTCTCTCAAATCCTTCACGCTTCAAAACCAAAAACAACAACAACAAAACACATTCCAAAAACCCCCCTTAGATTTGCAAAATCATGATTTCGTCGATGTCACCGAGTCTGGCCATGATGCTCAAGCTCATAATAATGGTGGTGGTGCAGGTGCTGGTGCCTATGGTGGCCATGATAGCAACAACAATGGTTACTACGATCAAGGACATGGCTATGATGCCAATAATCAGGATAATGGCCATGGCTATTATGATCAGGAAAATGCAGGACATGGTCATGAGGATGGCCACACCAATGCCTATGACAGTACCAATGCCTATGATAACGACAACAACAACAACCATGGTTATGATGATAACAACAACAACAACAATGGCTATGATGTTTATGGCAACAATAATGCCTATGATCCTTATGGTCATGGCAGCACTGAAGACAACAACAACAACAATGGCTATGACAACAACAATGCCTATGATCCCAATGATCCTTATGCCCAGGGTCACACTGAAGACACCAACAACCACAATGCCTATGACACTAACAATGCCTATGATCCCAATGATCCTTATGCCCAGGGTCACACTGAAGACCACAATGCCTATGATCCCTATGGCCATGGCAACACTGAAAGCAATGCCTACGACAGCAACAACAACAACAATGGCTATGAGGACAACAGCAACAACAATGCCTACGATCCCTATGCCCATGATCCCTATGCCCATGGCAATACCCACGAAGAACCTGAAGAAGAAGGCGAAGAAGAAACCGAACAAGAACACGAAGCTCCTCGTCCCAATATTATGGTATACGACTGTGATCAAAATCCCGATGGTGATTTCCAATGCGCCAACGGTGATGTGATTCCATGCTACAAACGTTGCAACAACTATGTCGATTGCCTGGACGAGAGCGACGAAGAGCCCGATATGTGCAAGGTGGTGTTGGAACGTGAAGAGGAAGAAATCGAAGAGAGCACCAATGAGGATGAGGATAACTGGGGTTCATGGCCAAATGTCAACAAAGGTACACACTCTCACTCATGCTTACAGTACACTATACACTACACACACACACACACACACATGCACTCAAACATAACCTCACATAACAAATCACACAAAAATTTAAAAGGCTTTAAAAAAAAAAACAAAAAAAAATTTTATTTACTAAAATAATGTGGCTTAGATTTGTAACTTTAACGAGGATATCAAAATGAGGTAGGACTGTTTTTGTTGGATTTTTTTTTTCAAAAAAAAAAAAATAAATAAATAAATAAATAAATAAATAAAAAATAAAATAAATAAATAAATAAAAAATAAAATAAAAAATATAATAAATAAATAAAAGTAAAAAAATAAATATTAAAAAATGATTTTTAAAAAAAATATTTTTAAAAATCCAAGTTCAATATTATTCATTGAAAAAGATATTTTTTTAAAATACATGTTCAATATTATTCTTTGAAAAAAATATTTTTTAAAATCCACCTTCAATATTAATGTTCGAAAAAAATATTTTTAAAAATCCCCGTTCAATCTTGAACTTTGAAAAAAATATTTTTAAAACCCCTTTTTCAATATTGATCTTTGAAAAAAAAATATTTTTTAAAATTCACGTTCAATATTATTCTTTGAAAAAAAATATTTTAAAAAATTTAGGTTCAATATTATTCTTTGAAAAAAATATTTTTTAAAATCCACGTTCAATATTATTCTTTTAAAAAAATATTTTTAAAAATCCACCATCAATATTGATATTTTCAAAAAATATTTTTAAAAATCCATGTTAAATATTGACCTTCAAAATAAAATATTTTTAAAAATCCCCGTTCAATATTATCCTTTAAAAAAATATTTTTAAAAATTCACGTTCAATATTGATCTTTGAAAAAAATATTTTTAAAAATCCACGTTCAATATTGAAAAAAATATTTTTAAAAATCCAAGATTTTTGTTCATCTTTGAAAAAAAAATACTTTTAAAAATCCCCATTCAATATTATTCTTTGAAAAAAATATTTTTAAAAATCCACGTTCAATATTGATCTTTGAAATTTTTTTTTTAAAAATCCACGTTCAATATTGATCTTTGAAAAAATATTTTTAAAAATCCAAATTCAATATTGATATTTGAAAAAAAATATTTTTAAAACTCCACGTTCACTATTATTCTTTGAAAAAAATATTTTTAAAAATCCGCGTTCACTATTATTCTTTGAAAAAAAATATTTTTAAAAATCCACGTTCAATATTATTCTTTGAAAAAAATATTTTTTAAAATCCACGTTCAATATTGATCTTTGAAATAAAATATTTTTAAAAATTCAATATTGAACTTTGAAAAAAATATTTTTAAAAATCCACATTCAATATTGAACTTTGAAAAAAAATATTTTTAAAAATCCACGTTCAATATTATTCATTGGAAAAATATTTTTAAAAATCCACGTTCAATTTGATCTTTGAAAAAAATATTTTAAAAAATCCACGTTTAATATTGATGCTTGAAAAAAATATTTTTAAAAATTCACATTCAATATTGAACTTTGAAAAAAAATATTTTTAAGAATCCACTTTAAATATTATTCTTTTAAAAAAATATTTTTTAAAATCCACGTTTAATATTATCCTTTGAAGAGAATATTAAAAAAAATTAATTTTTATTTACAAAAACCACCTTTATTACACCGTGCACCAAAAATCATTTTTCTAATTATCACAGGGAAATGACAGCAGATTATGAAAGTAGAGCCTAAAAAGAAAACAGGTGCATAGGAGTTTTGAAAGTCTACGAAGTAATAAATGCCCCCTTCTTCCATTTTTTTTTTTTTTTTGGAAATTTCGCCTTCAGATTTCTTGGTATCTGTTAACTTTAGGTTTATAGTGTCTTTGGCAATGTTAAAGATAACAATATGTGGAATATTTTTGTCAAAAACTTTAACCCTCAAGCGAGTCACCAAAGGGGTATTTTTCGAACTTTTTTCAAAATATGGTTAATCGTTCGTTCCCACGCCTCGTACAAAGCATCATTTTAGTAAGCTGACGTCAAAGACAAAAATAATCCCTATCAAATTTCAATAAAGGTCGCCATAGAAGAGGAACCTTTATTTCCCATATATATTCGGAAAATATTTACATCAATTTTGCCAAAAGAAACCGAAATTACTTTTTATTTTTTTATCAATTTTCCCTCGGCCTTTTTCCGAGTTGATGCCTGAAAGTAACATCAAATTTCATTTTAGGCAGAAGCTGTCAAAGGAAGAATTATTCTACACAAAATTTCACCATAAATCTCAGAATTAACCCTATATCTAGGTACAATAGTTATCAGGAAAATTACATTCGAATTGTATGACCTACAAGTGAAAAATTATGAATTTGCCGATTTTTTGCTGTTAATTTAACACATTTTCAAACCAAGTCAAAATCACCCATTGAACTTCATTTTTTGGGAAAAATCTCAAAGGCAAAAATACTCCTCATCAAATTTCACTGTAGGTCACCTAAGAAAAGAAACCTCTACATTCCTTTTATAACCGGAAAAAATATTGAAATCAATTTTGGCAAAAGAAAAAAAGCAGAAAAATTAAATTTTGTTAAAATTTTTTCCTCGGCCTTTTTCCCACTTGTGGCCTGAAAGTGACATAGGCAGAAGTTGGCGTTTTAGGCAGAAGTTGTCAAAGAAAGAAATATTCTAGACAAAATTTCAATAGAAATCTCAGAATAAACTATGTATCTAGATACAATAGTTTTTAAGAAAATTACATTCGAAATTTATGTACCACAAGGGAAAAATATGTGTTTGCCGTTTTTTACTGTAAATTAAACACATTTTCAAGCCAAGTCAAAATCTCCCTCTATACTTCATTTTCTGGTAAAAGTCTTTAAGACAAAATTGTTCCTCATCAAATTCGACTATAGGTCGCCAAAGAAAAGAAATCTTTATTTTTATGATACAGCCGGAAAATATCTAAATCAATTTTGTCAAAAATTGCAAAAATATTTCCAATTTTTTTTTTTTTTGATAATTTTTCTCTGCCTTTTTTCGAGTTGATGCCTGAAAGTAACATAAAATTTCCTTTTATTCAGAAGCTGTCAAAGGAAGAATTATTCTACATAACATTTCACTATAAATCTCAGAATCAACCCAATATCTAGGTACAATAGTTTTCAGGAAAATTACATTCGAATTGTATGTCCTACAGGTGGAAAATATGTGTTTGCCATTTTTTAATTAATCACATTTTCAAGCCAAGTCAAAATCACCCTTTATTATTCATTTTTTGGAAAAAGTTTTAAAGACAAAAATATTCCTCATCAAATTCGACTATAGGTCACCAAAGAAAAGAAATCTTTATTTTTATGATATAACCGGAAAATATCTAAATCAATTTTGTCAAAAAATCCAAAATAGTTACATATTTTTTTACTCAATTTTCCTCAGACTTTTTTCGAGTTGACGCCTGAAAGTATCATAAAATTTCATTCTAGGCAGTAGTTGTCAGAAGAAGAAATATTCTACACAATATTTCACTATAAATCTCAGAATCAACCCTATATCTAGGTACAATAGTTTTCAGGAAAATTACATTCGAATTGTATGTCCTACAACTGTAAAATATGTGTTTGCCATTTTTTATTGTTAATTTAACACATTTTCAATCCAAGCCGAAATCTCCGTTTATGCTTCATTTTTTTGGAAAAGCCTTAAAGGCAAAAATATTCTACATCAAATTTCACTAAAGGTCACTAAAGAAAGGAGAACTTGATTTCCATTATATAACCGTAAAATATTTGAATCGATTTTGTCAAAAAAAGCAAAATAGTAACTTATTTTTTACTCAATTTTCCTCGACTATTTTTCGAGTTGACGCCTCAACATAGCATAAAATTTCGTTTTAGGCAGAACTTGTCAAAAGAAGAAATATTCTGCAGAAAATTTCACTATTAATCTCAGAATAAACCATGTCTCTAGGTGCAATCGTTTTTAAGAAAATTACATTTGAAATATGTGGCCTACAAGCGAAAAATTTGCTGTTAATTTAACACATTTTCAAGCCAAGTGAAAATCTCCCATTAAACTTCATTTTTTAGAAAAGGTCGTAAAGACAAAAATATTACTCATCAAATTCGACTATAGGTCACCAAAGCAAAGAAAACTGCATTTCCCTTATTTTACCCTTAAAATATTTAAATCAATTTTGGCAAAAAAAGTGAAAATAGTTTCCATTTTTTTGGATACATTTTCCTCGGATTTTTTCAAATTAACCCCTGAAAGTATCATAAAACTCCATTATAGACAAAAGGTATCAAAAGAAGAAATATTCTACACAAAATTTCACAATAAATCTCAGAATCAACCCAATATCTAGGTACAACCGTTTTTAAGAAAATTACATTCGAAATTTATGGCCTACAAGGGAAAAATTTGCTGTTAATTTAACACATTTTCAATTCAAGTCAAAATCTCCCCTTATACTTCATTTTTTGGAAAAAGTCTTAAAGACAACATTATTCCTCATCAAATTTCATTATAGGCCACCAAAGAAAGGAAAACTGTATTTCCCTTATTTAACCGGAAAATATTTAAATCAATTTTATCAAAAAAAAAGCGCAATAGAAAATAAACTTATGAAAGTAATGTTAATATTTGGCCATGTTTGGTGCATACTTTTAGGAGCTCATTTGTTTTTCCCTCTTTATATCTTAAATAATTCCTTTTTTGGTTCCAACATTTTGATATCCTCGATAAAGTTGCAAAATAAAGCTCAAAATTCGTTGCTGCCGAAAAATATTGAAAAAAAAAATATTTTTCATAACCCTGGGGGTCCATTGTAAGACCCCCCCAACTAATCGTAGTTTTATAAAAAGATTTTTACTAACATAACTCTGTTGTGGGTATTAAAAAAAAAATAAAATAAATAAAATTATTCCAAATTGCATAGCTAATAAAATTTAAATATATTTCATTGCTCACTTTTTAACTTTTTCTCATTTCATCTGTCATTTTTATTTCTAACATAACTTTGTAATTAGAAAATATAAACTCATGATTTTTCACGAAATTTCAAAATTCCGGGGAAAAAAATTTCCCGAAAACCAAAATTTATTTCCCACTTCAATTCGAACACCATCACCGCATTTTTCTCGACCACATAATCAATGAATTGAAATCCATTGCCACAATTAGTTGCCATTTATTTCATTCACTGCCGTCTCTTTTACCCAGCTATGGCTTTTGAACTATTTGCATTTTCCAATTTTCATTGAAAAATTTCTCCTCATCCGTTTAGTTCACAAAATTTTCATTAACGTATTTTTTGGAAACTTAAAAAAAAATTCTCTCTGTGTCTCTACGTCTTGGGTCCCCACGAAATTTATTTTTTATTGCTGTTTGTTTGTGTGGACCCACTGTGCCTCTATGTTGTGTCTGTCCCCTGGGGTAATTTTTTTGCAGCTCTCCTTAAGCTTGGCTTTTTCTCTAATAAAACCCCTGCGAAAAATGCCTGAACTTAGTTAGAAAAAATTTTTTGTTTTTTTGAAAAAATATCCGCCATCTAATTGGGAAATTTAAACTTAAATCTTAGAAACAAGCACCGATGATTCTTGGGTTACACCGGAATCACATCCTGATGCCGGACATCATGACACCCATGCCGTTGAAGAAGACGAAGAAGAAAAGGAAGAAGAGGAGGAACATTCTCCCACCTACGAAACAATTGACTATGATCGTCCCATTGATGCCGAACGTCGTGTGGAAGAGCCCGTCAATGCCGGCGGCAATGTCTATGGCGGTGAAGAAGATCATCATCATGGCGGTGCTGGTGGCTTGGACAACAACATTTTCGAATCATCCGGAGACTACTCGCCCGTCACTGAAACCAGTGCCGTCTTTACACCACCCACTGGCTGTCGTGGCGATTCGACCTACACCTGTCGCGAAAGTAATGTTCAAATCTGTGACGAACATTTGTGCGATGGTGTCGAACACTGTCCCGATGGTGAAGACGAACTGAACTGTGGCAGCGACGATGAGTTCAACTATGAAAAGGGTATAGTGTTTGTCTCTTTAATGTGTGTTTGTGTGTGAAGGGCATCGTCGTCGTCTCATTATCTACACTGTGACTCAAAACTTTTCTGTGCATCTACTCCAAACCCCTACCCAGATCCCAGTTCCCTGTGTTTTAGTCCTTTTCATTTGTGTCATGTTCTTTCTTTTACAGGTTTAGGCTAGAAAGGCTAGAGGTGGAATCATAAAAATACTGTTTAAACACAAAATTAAGTAAAAGTAACCGGTTACCCACGAATAAAATTTCCAATTTTATTATAAAAAAAAACACTTCATAGGGTTATACCATGGTATATGTGGTGATTCAGGCTTATTTCCGCATTGAATATAAAAAGTAACCGATTTTTCTTGCACCAAAAAATAGGGGAAATAACCGATTACTCAAACATAAAATTCATATATTTTAAGAAAAAAAAAAAAAAAAAAAAAAAAACACGGAGACTTGTTATACAACAGTATATATGGTTTTTTCGGCAGATAGCAATAAAAAAAATTCAAAAAGTAACCGGTTACTCAAGGACAAGTTTTGCGATTTTTTTTATCATAAACTAATTTTCTTTTCATAAAATCTGTTATACAACGGTAAATATGGGTTTTCCGATAGATAACAACAAAAATTGGAAAAAGTAACCGATTACCTAAAGACAAATTTTGCGAATTTTTTTATCATAAACTAATTTTAATTTCATAAAATCTGTTATTTAACGGTAAATATGGTTTTTCCGATAGATAACAATAAAAATTGCAAAAAGTAACCGGTTACTCAAAGACAAGTTTTGCGAATTTTTTTATTACAAACGATTTTTTTTTCATAAAATTTGTTATACAACGTTATATATGTTTTTTTCGGCAGATATCAACAAAAAATTGAAAAGTAACCGGTTACTCAAAAACATTTTTTGCCAATTTTCTTATGAGAAACAAAGCAAATCGATATATAATGACTCTATAAAGCCAATTTATCACTTTCCAACTAATTTTAGTAAAAAACAACGAAAAGTAACCGGTTACTCAGAGACAAATGTTGCCAGTTTTTTTACAATAACCATCAAACTGATTAGAGAACGGCAATGGTAGACAAATATGTTATTTTGAACGGTATGTTTTGCTTTTCTGACAGATTACTACAAAGAATTCAAAAAGTAACCGGTTACTCAAAGACATGTTTTGCGAATTTTCTTATGAGAAACAGTCAAAATCGATATTAAATGACTCAGTAAAGCCAATTTACCACTTTCCAACTAATTGCAATTAAAACAACGAAAAGTAACCGGTTACTCATAGAAAAATTTTGCTAGTTTTCTTACAATAACCATCAAACTGGTTAGAGAACGGTTATGGTAGGCAAATATGTTATTTTGAATGGTATATTTTGTTTTTCCGAGGGATAGCTATAAAAAATTTTAAAAGTAACCGGTTACTCAAAGACTTTGTTGCGAATTTTCTTATGAGAAACCATGAAAATCAATATAAAATGACTCAATAATGCCAATTTATCACTTTCCAACTAATTGCAGTAAAAAACAAAGAAAAGTAATCGGTTACTCATAGAAAAATTTCCCTAGTTTTTTTTTAAATAACCATCAAACTGGTTAGAGAACGGTTATGGTAGGCAAATATGATATTTTTAACGGTATATTTTGCTTTTCCGACAGATAACTACAAAAAAAGTAAAAAGTAACCGGTTACTCGAAGACTTATTTGGCTAATTTTCTTATGAAAAACAATGAAAATCGATATAAAATGACTCAATAAAGATAATTTATCACTTTCCAACTAATTGCAGTAAAAAACAACGAAAAGTAACCGGTTACTCATAGACAAATTTTGCTAGTTTTCTTACAATGTCCATCAAACTGATTAGTGAACAGTTATGGTAGGCAAATATGTTATTTTGTACGTTATATTTTGTTTTCCGACGGATAACTATAAACATTTTTAAAAGTAACCGGTTACTCAAAGGCTTGTTTTGCTAATTTTCTTATGAGAAACCATAAAAATCGATATGAAATGACTCAATAAAGCAAATTTATTACTTTCCAACAAATTGCAATTAAAAACAAAGAAAAGTAACCGGTTACTCATAGACCAATTTTGCCCATTTTCTTACCATAACAATCAAACTGATTAGAGAACGGTTATGGTAGGCAAATATGTTATTTTGAAGCATATTATAGTATTAATTAGAAAAAGTAACCGGTTACCCAGAAATAAATTTTCCTAGTTTCGAAAAATTTGCTTCAAAAATTTTTAAAAATACAATCCAAATTGTATGAGTAACAAGTTATAAAGATAAACTTTGTCATTTAAAGTATTCAGATCAACGTAATATTTAATTTTTTCAATGGGTACCCGGTTACTTACATAGATTTCGTTGTAAATTTATTTAAAATTCTGGTGGGCAGATTAACAATCCTCTAAGTATATAGAATATAATTAAAAAATAAATTTTTATAAAAAAATATTAATGGGTAACCGGTTACTCGAATGGATTCTTTTTCAAAAATTTTGCAAAATATTAACTAAAGTTCAAAATTATTTAAAATACATCAAAATATACAAGGGTTAAACATTTTTCAAACGACATGTTGACCTTTATCGAAGTTTTTTTTGTAACCGGGTAACCGATTACTTTCATTGAATTTTTCGTAAATTCAATCGAAAACCGAACATATTCGTCCTGTTAATGTAAAATATTGACAAAAAAAACATAACCCGGCACAATGTAAAATGAAAGCACCAGTAAAATAATCCAGACATTCCGACTCTCTGGATCGGTCCACCACCTAACCTAAAAAAACACAATTTTTATAATGTCTTGTGTAAATATCACCTGTTACTAACTAAGAAAATTGAAAAAAAAAATCAATATTGAATATATTCACATCTAACAACGTGTTGAAACCATTTTTGTGTGTTTCGAACTCATTTTTTCGAAATTTCTAATAAAATTTTCGTTTTTCTTCTTCTCATCTCTTCGCCTTTCGTGGAATCTGTGACAATGTTTGGTAAAACTACAGTCTGTTCAGCTAATGAGTTTATGTGCGATCAACGTTGTTTACCCATGGAATATCGATGCAATGGATATAATGAATGTAACGATGGTAGCGATGAGAGGGATTGTCCAGAAAAAGGTAAGTTCGATTTTATTTGTTTTCATTTCTTCATATTAAGTATTATCGATGATATTTTGCAATGTGTTATCGATAAAATTTCAGATGCAAAATATTGTTACAAATTATGGTTTGTTGAGGATAATTTTTGTATTGTCGAATAATTTTCTCTGACGATATACTGTTATCGATAGCTTTTGTATATAGTAATGAAATTATCGATAACTTTTCTATGCAGCAATGTTATTGTCGATTACGTTACTATGAAGAAAATTTATTATTTCTGAAAAAAAAAAATGCTTTCGACTATCGGAAAAGTTGTTATTGACAAATTTTCTCTTCGGAAAATTTGTTATCGACAACTTTTCTCTCCAGAAAAGTTGTTATCGACAATTTTTCTCTCCAGAAAAGTTTTTATCGACAATTTTTCTCTCCAGAAAAGTTGTTATCGACAATTTTTCTCTCCAGAAAAGTTGTTATCGACAACTTTTCTCTCCAGAAAAGTTGTTATCGACAACTTTTCTCTCCAGAGAAGTTGTTTTCGACAAGTTTTCCCTCCGAAAAAGTTGTAATCGACAACTTTCCTGTGCGGAAAAGTTGTTATCGACAACTTTCCTGTGCGGAAAAGTTGTTATCGACAACTTTCCTATACGGAAAAGTTGTTATCGACAACTTTCCTATGCGAAAAAGTTGTTATCGACAACTTTCCTATGCGGAAAAGTTGTTATCGACAACTTTCCTATGCGGAAAAGTTGTTATCGACAACTTTCCTATGCGGAAAAGTAGTTATCGACAACTTTCCTATGCGGAAAAGTTGTTATCGACAACTTTCCTATGCGGAAAAGTTGTTATCGACAACTTTCCTATGCGGAAAAGTTGTTATCGACAACTTTCCTATGCGGAAAAGTTGTTATCGACATTTTTTCTCTTTGAAAAAGTTGTTATCGACCACTCTTCCCTTCGGAAAATTTGTTATCGACAACTTTTCTTTTCTAAAAAGTTGTTATCGCCAATTTTCTCTTCGGAAAATTTGTTATAGACCACTTTTTTCGTCTGAAAAGTTGTTATCGACAACTTTTTCTTGGGAAAAGTTGTTATCGATAACTTTTCTGCCCTGAAAAGTTGTTATCGACCATTTTTCTCTTCGGAAAAGCTGTTATCGATATTGTTTCTTAAAGAAATTGTTTATCAGAAATCAACACAAATTCTTAATGGTTTCCTATTTTGCCAATCTTTCATATTTGCCGATTTTCTTCTCTTCCCCATTCAACCTCTTCAAAGAAAAAAAAACGCTTTAATTAATAGTTTAGTTTTCAGTTTTCAATTTGAAAATTTCAAATGTAGACAAAAACCAGTCACATTTCAATTTTCCTTCTTTTTTTCCTGCCGATTCTAATGGGAAATCAATCGTTTTCCAAATTAATTAAAAATTATAATGACCCTGAACTGAATACTTACATACCATATGCATATATATTTGAATATTGACCGCAAAAAAAAAAAAAACAATTCGGAAAATATTGCCAAAATGTTGTATTTGTATGTGGGCACAAATAAATTATCTAAAGTTCTGTTGTGATTTAAATTAATATTTTTTTTTTCTGGGGGGAATAACAAAAACGAGCCATTCCTCTTGAAAATGTGGAGCACACTCGGCAACAAAGTCTAGGGTAAATTGAATATATTTTTTGTTTTGGGTGGGGGTGTGTTAAGAAGAAAGGGTGATCTTCCAAGGGAAGGAGGATTTTTCGTACGCTCTCAGTTTTAATAAATGTCCTCCCTAAATCCCATTTAAAATTTAGAATATTTTTTTGCATCTTTTTATTTTAAATTCTAATTTTTGCCACCCCTTCTGAAGACCCTTTGCCACCTTGATTTTTTGCTCTCCGCAAAAGGTCATGACAATCCCAACACCCAACTTTCATTTGTGGGTGTTGACATCTGCCAGAGATTAGTATTAAATAAATTTTACAAAGCAAAATATTGAAGTGCATTTTCAGCACCAGGGGGAGGGCCCCACAAAGGGGAGGACCAAATACAAAGTTTTGGTAGAATTTCATTTAAAATGGAAATACTGTTATTTGGTCGAAAAATAAAAACAACAATTAAAATATTTTTGTTCGGACAAAAATTGGATCTTTGGAGGACAGGAGATATGGCAGGAGGTGAGATTCTCAAAAAAAAAAAAAAAAAGATTTTGGAGACCAAGGTCCTTTTTTCAGTTTCTCTCTCATCCAATGCCATTTCCTTGAAAAAGAATTACACAGCCATCACATCCTTGCCATATTTCCCTGCCTGGATTTTTCGTAGGACATCACCCTCCACCTTCCCAAAAAAAAAAAAAACAAAAATCACAAAAGACCTGTTAAACGTTTATGTTTTATGAGCTAAGCCAAACAATTTTGTTAAACATCCTGATTTTTTTTGCACATCCCTTTTCTCTGCCAAAAGTCAGTCTCTTCCTCTCCATAAAAATGACACTCTGCTCCTTCATCCTTGCATAGCTATCTCACATATTTCCATGAACTGCTTCTAATTTTGCAAACATTTTAAAACGCCAAAAAAGCATCCTTGCATCCTTCATAAGCTAAGTGAGCATTTTGGGAGTCATGTTTTTATTTTCATCCTCAGAAAATAAGTGCCATAGAGGTCCTTGCTGCTATTACCACTTCAGTGTAGTCAAAATGACAAGACACTGGGTGTGGGGGGAAATATGCAAAAATTTAATCAAATCTCAAATTTTGGGGGTGGGTTTCCTTGGCGGCTACGCCAGCCTGGGTGAAAACAGAGTTGAGAATTTAAATTTTCCCCACAAAAAAGACTACCGGAAAATCAAACAAAAAAGATTCGATTAAAGATTCGAATAAATTCATTATCCCTCAATGGGTATATATCTCTAAGAAAAATCAAAAATAATCCGACCAAAAAAAATCCGACCATTTACCAAACTAAAAAAAAAACGAAAAACCAATAAAAAAAATAAAATAGAAATAAAATTTAAAACCGACCAAATTTCATATTTAAAAAAATCCGACCAATTTTGAGCAGATGCTAAGAATACGTCTTCACTTAAGATATTTATAACCAAACATTGCATTTTTTAACAAGAAAAAAGTGGCTTGAATGAAAAATTAAAACCGACCAAATTTTACTTTAAAGAAAAAATCCGACCAATTTTGAGGAGATGCTAAGAAAACTTCTTCAACAAGATATTTATAACCAAATATTGCATTTTGTTTAAAAAAAAAGTTGCCTTGAATGAAAAATTAAAGCCTACCAAATTTAACGTGGAAAAAAAATCCGACCAATTTTGAGCAGATACTAAGAATACGTCCTCAATCAAGATTTTTATACCCAAACATTACATTTTCGTTAAAAAAAAAGTTGCCTTGAATGACAAATTAAAACCGACCAATTTTGAGTTGTACAAAAAATTCCGACCAATTTTTTGCAGATGCTCGGAAAACTTTTTCAAATAAGATATTTATACCCAAACATTAAATTTTTGGTAAAAAAGTTGGCTCAATTGACTAAATAAAAACCGACCAATTTTGAGTTGTAAAAAATACTCGACCAATTTTGAGAAAATGCTCAGACAACGTCTTCAATCAAGATATTTATATACAAATATTAAATTTTTAAAAAAAAAATTGGCTTGAATGACTAAATTATAACCGACCAAATTTTATATTTAAAAAAATTCCGTCCAATTTTGAGGAGATGCGCAAAAACTTCTTCAATAAAGATATTTATAGCCAAACATTAAACTTTTGTAAAAAAAAAGTTGGCTTAAATGACTAAATTAAAACCGACCAATTTTGAGTTGTAAAAAAACTTTCGACCAATTTTGAGCAAATGCTAAGAAAATTTCTTCAATTGAGATATTTATACCCAAACATTAAAATTTTAGTTTAAAAAAGTTGGCTTAAGTGACAAATTAAAATCGACCAATTTTCAGTTGAAAAAAAAAAACTTTCGGCCAATTTTGAGCAGATGCTTAGAAAACGCTTTTCAAGATATTTATTGCTCAATATTGCATTTAAAAAAAAAAAGTTGACTTCAATGAAAAGTTAAAACCGACCAATTTTGTTTTGTAAAAAAATACTTCGACCAATTTTGAGGAGATGCTTTAAAAACTTCTTTAAATAAGATATTTATAACCAAACATTATATTTTCGTTAAAAAAAAGTTGGCTTGAATGTCAAATTAAATCCGACCAATTTTGAGTTGTAAAAAATGTCGACCAATTTTGAGCAGATGCTAAGAAAACGCTTTCAATCAAGATATTTATACCCAAACATTAAATTTTTGGTAAAAAACTTGGCTTAAATTACTAAATTAAAACCGACCAATTTTGAGTTGTAAAAAAACTTTCGACCAATTTTGAGATAATGCTAAAAAACTTCTTCAGTAATGATATCTATCGCCAAACAATAGATTTTCGTAAAATAAAAGTTGTCTTAAATGACAAATTCAAACCGACCAATTTTGAGTTAAAAAAAAACTTTCGACCGATTTTGAGCAGAACCTAAGAAAACTTCTTCAAACAAGATATTTATAACCAAACATTATATTTTCATTAAAAAAAAGTTGGCCTAAATGACAAATTAAAACCGACCAATTTTGCGTCGTAAAAAATACTTCGACCAATTTTGAGCAGATGCTAAGAAAACTTCTTCAAATAAGATATTTGAAACCAGACATTATTTTTTTTTTAAAAAGTTGGCTTAAATTACTAAATTAAAACCGACCACATTTGACCTGCAAAAAAAAATCCGACCAATTTTGAGGAGATGCTAAGAAAATGCCTTCAATCAAGATATTTATAGCCAAACATTACATTTTCGTAAAATAAAATTTGGCTTGAATGTCTAAATTAAAATCGACCAATTTTGAGTTGTGAAAAAATACTTCGACCAATTTTGAGATGTTAAGAAAACTTCTTAAAATAAAATATTTATAGCCAAACATTACATTTCCGTAAAAAAAAGTTGGCTTAAATGACAAACTAAAACCGACCA